AAAAAAAAAAACAATTTGCTGATTAGCCACACCAGACGTTTAATAATCATTTGCCAAATATTTTGTCTCTTCTATTTTTAATAGAAGTGGGTAGACGTCGTACAGGGTAGACATGCAGTAAAATCAAAATATATAGAGATAATAAAATACAATGTTCCATGAAATTAGACATAGTATGGTATATAATAATAATAAAAAAGAAATGAACTAAATAAAATAAAGTTAATTAAAATAAATTTAAAAAAATTATAAAAATTAAATAAAAGAAAAATTAATAAAAGTAATATTAAATCCAATTTAAAAAATTGGAAAATAAAAAATAAATATAAAGTATAAATAAAATAAAAAAAAATAATTGAAGCAAATTAAAAAAAAATGAAATAGAAAAAAAATATACTTTAATGTTAAAAATAATGCCAATTTAAGAGAAATATGGAATAAAACAAAGAAAAATTATAATTAAATTAATAAAGCAAAACTACAATAAATAAAAAAATTAAATAAAAAGTGTAGCAACACAAAAAAATTAAGTTTATATAAACAAAAAAAAATAAAAATTTTAATTATAATTATAATATCTCTATAAACATGTACTAAAAATAATAAATTAAAGAAAAAATGAAACATTGCAAGGTAAATTAAAATACTCTAAACTAAAGAAATAAAAAATGAAACTGAAATAAATTTAATAAAATGGTAAAGGTATTCAACTTCACATATACCAACAGAGCGATTGCTTCGGATATGTTTTTGGTAACGTCAGTTCAGTACAATTTTTGTCATGCATCGCTTCGAGCCGAAACAGCGTCCTGAAATAGTGACACTTTAGATCGAAAACAGTCGTTCCACTGTGTTAACTCAACGTGCATAACGGAAAAAATATCGCGACCTGATTTAGCCCTCGAGCCTACTTTTTGTGGGGTTATTTCTAAAGCAAGGCTTAAGCCAACCAGCCTCAAATTATTGATGAGCTCAAGACAAACAAAAAAAATTTGCATAAAATATCATTAAAATGCCAGGAAGCGACCGTAATTATAATAATTTGCCTGAATTTTCTTGATTTTGATTTTTTTCATCATCTGATTTTTCTTGATTTTCATCATCTATTGCCAACTAATTTATCACTGTTAACCTTCTCTGCCATTTAATTAGTCTTAGTCAAAATTATTGACGTACGAAGTCGTAAGTTTTCCGCTAGGTGCCGCCGTAGCGGAGGTTAAACCAATAATAATAATTAGGATACAAATAACTGGTAAATTATATAAAAATATAAGGACCGAAAACCCTGCGCTAGGTGACGCCAACATCGATTTATTTTTATCAACCAGCGGATAATCGAACTATGACTTCATAACATAAGAGTATGTAAGGGCGTTTCAAAAATTATCAGCTACGTGATTTCAAAGTCAATTGTTTTTATTATAAATCAAGCAATTTTTTTTCGCTAATCGAGGGCGGATTTTTTTTTTAATTTTATATGTTTGTATATACATTGACAGCAAAACGATGAATTTAGTTTACAGTGAGTAGCATGGCGAAAATGTCAAGTTTAAAAAAAAAAAAAAAAATAAATAAAAAAATAATAATAAAAATAATATTGTAATAATAATAAAAATTATAAATTAAATAAATAAGTAACAATAACAATAATTGAAGTAGTAATAATAATAACAATAATAATTTATATTAATTAAACTAATATAACTTAACCTCTCTCAAAAAAAATAAATAAATAATTGTCAACTTCCTACTAAAAAATCCATTTTTTATTATTTATATCGGTCACTAAATCCAATTTCCAAAAAACCAGATCGATAGGTCAGCTGGAATACACTTTTGCTCATAATAATAAAATAATAAAATAATAATAATAATAATCATAATAATAATAATAATAGCAATAATAATAATATCAATAATAATAATAATAATAATAATAATAATAATAATAATAATAACAATGATAATAATAGTNTATATATGTATGTATATATATGAAAATAGTAAATGTTATAGCATTACTCGGCGTACGGCCAGCAACTGACAATTCCAAAAAAAAAAAAAAAAAAAAAAAAATATATATATATAAACAAACTAAATGAAACTGTTGTAATAGCAGAATAGAAGTGTAGAACAACGTGAACAACAACACCTGTTTGCTTTGAAATCAACAAGCGCAGAGTGCATGCTCAAAGCAAACAAAAAAAAAAGAAAGAAAGAATTTTAAAAAGGCTGCCCAGCAATGCATATGTAAAGCACTAATACAAGCAAGCGCTTATATGTACATGGCATAGCAGATATACTAAATATGTATTCATATAGCTACATATTTATACAACAAACAGCTGTACATATGCATTCAAAAGTCTCTTGTCACCATGACCTACAATCATTCCGATCGCTGCTTACCCACCGCTCACCTCGTCGTGCCAACTTATCGCAGCGCCTATGCCTTTGCCTTTGATTCGAGTACGTTGAACAGCAAAAAAAAAAAAAAGCAACAACAAAAAAAAAGAAAAACAAAAAAAAAGAACAAATGCATATCAATAGGTTTCTAGCACAATACAAGCGAGTATGCAGTAATAAAGATTAAGTGCTCTTCATCATATGTCGATAGGCTTGCCGAAATCAAACAAATCGTTGAGGCCCTTCCTCACCCAGACCGCCTATCTGGTGAAGTAACCCTTCAGTTGGAACAAAAAAACTAAAAATCAAATTGATTTCTTTCATTTTACCCAAAGATAAGCAGAAATTTCAATCTTTTTTTGTTTTTGGAAAATACTTAGAAATAGAAGATTTCTTTGTTTGAATGTACATCACATAATATTGACATACTCAATTAAAGGGCAGTTAGTTAGATAAGGAGCTTTTCACGTGAGGTATATATGCCTCTTAAGTACCGTTAATGCGCATTACAATGTAGAAAATAAGATAGGTTAGGTATGTCTGAGAGCATGTATGAGGAAGTTCTCTCAATTATTATCGTGATATATGCATGTACATTGCACATGCATATGCATGCATGTAGAGCACTTTAAATAAAAAAGGGGGCGCTTTAAGATTCATAAAGTCGAGAGAGGAATGTAAAATTGAAATTAGGTCAAGTAACAAATGAAGGCTTGACTTCCCATAGCAAGAATTATCCGATTTGTGTCAAATATGCACTCTGTCATTATGGATCTCTCATAGAAACCCTTGACTTTATTGGAAAAAAAATGGTATTATCAATTTTCCCAGGCTTCTATGGAGGCTCTTTTCTTGATCTGTTAAATTATTCGCCATAGACAGGAACAGATTGCAATTACTTGGTTCGACGTACGTATTTAAGAGGAATGCATAAGAAGCTCCTCACCAAGCTCTCGGAGTCGAGCATCGAGTCACCGTCGATGTGTATGCATTAGGGTTATCCTTACGAAACACATTTCCCTTCCTTTTGGTGAAAACTGGGCGCTTATGACTAAGTTTCTAACAGCATAGGCCATAGTGGGTGATTCCAAAGCCATTCATTGCAAAAATAATGGATAACTTGTTACTCGACTTAATATAATATATAATGTTGACCTCCTCTCCTCTCCTCTGATCTCCTCTCCTCTCCTCTCCTCTCCTCTCCTCTCCTCTCCTGTAAAACATCGCACATCTGCAGGATGAGGGTTTACAAATTTATTCGCCCCAAGCTGGGCCTGTCGTTAGCGCCGATAATATTTAATAGTTCTCTCGAGAGGAAATCAAAGATGAATTAGGTTTACCAGGACTCGAAACCATTATCCCCCCCAGCTTATAGTCCTTATTTCTATCTAATAGGCTACTGCGGCCGCGATACAAAAACTATTTTTCTTTTTACTCCTGCGGGGTAGGGTTTTCAAGAATTTTCCCTCGGTAAGGCATGACTGCCGTAAAAGTTGAACTGTCATATTTTTTAGCCTACAAAAACAACAACAACTATTTATTTCCATTACCAGTGAGCTCTTCAAATATTTGAACTTAAAGTCGATTCTGATTTAAGATATTTTGAGGTTAGTTAGACTCGATGGGGAGTAATATAAAAGAAGTTAGAATTAAATCGAAAAAAAAATTCAAACAAGTTAAAAACTAAAAAAGCAAATATTTATTAAAATGTTTAAGCCATGAAAAAAGTGAAATGCCCTTTTCCGAGTTGTTGCACACCCTGTTTGATGAATAGAAAATATTTTTGATTGTACTCGTTGATTGGCGTGCTAACGATGCATGCTACGTACAAAAAAAAAAAAACATACAAAAACAACAAGCGAGCAAGAGCAACACGCAAATTGCAAAAATAAATAAAAGAAATACGAAATACAATGAAAATGTACGAGTGAGTGTGCACCCAGAAACAGTGAAAATTTCAGCAGACCCTGTAATTTAGATTGCCCATGCAAAAAACAACACCGTAAACAACTGAATTTAACTAACTGAATTGCAAGGGAATGATGAAGAAAAAAAATAAAAAATAAAAAAAAATAAAAAAAAAAAATAAAAAATTAAAACAAATAAAAATACAAAAAACAAATAAATAAATAATAGCAACAAAAGTATATCTGCATCTGTATTAATGAAAACTTTGCTATAAAATGCAATCATTGGCAGTAGAAAAACACAAATTTGTATATTTTTAAAAACAAAAAAAAAATTACGAAATTTTGTACGATTTTGCAAGTTGTTTGGCTGCAGGCACAGACTAACACAAAAACTAAAAAAAAAAAATTTACAAAATTAATGAGGACGAAATTGAAATTTAATTTCGATTAAAAAATAGTTTAACTGAACATAAACAATACATATATATTGTGAAGCATACAAAATATTTTAAGCGCATATTTAACGACTGCACGAGAGTGATCGGAAGGAGAGATAAAAAGTTTGTGTAAAGATGGACATGAATGGGCATTTATCGTAGGTAATTATGATTAACACTAGATTATATTTATAAGACAATAGATATGTATGCATGTGCACGCACTAGTGTGCCGTACGAAACCTACCTTGAGGCCGGTATGGCACGTATGAGATGTGTTGAATGTTGCATTGCCGCCGAGCCGTGATGATGGCCATGTCCGTGGTGATGATGATGATGGTGGTGACTAGCGTGATGATTACTACCGCTGCTGCTGTTGCTATTGTTGCCAATGCTTAGATTAGCGGCAGTGTTGTTGTTGCTCTGCATAATATCGCCACTGCTGCCCGGACTGCCACTGCCATTGCTGCTGCTGCTGCTACTACTGCTGCTGCTGCTACTGCTACTACTGCTGGCCGCACCACTACCACTTGCTCCATGTGTATGGTGATGTCCTTGCATTTGTTGTTGCTGCTGTTGTTGTTGTACTTCAAGATGTTGATCGAAACCGAAACCACTGTCATTTGAATTATCGCAGGGCGGTGGATGCGGTCGTTGGGGGAATCGCTTGCCCGGCACCAACTTACCAGGACCAATCTGATAAAGAAGAAAGAAAGAAAGTTGGCATTAAAATAAATTGAAACTATTTGCTCTTTATAAACACAAAAATGAACCATAAGCGTGGACATCGTATGACGTAGGTAAATGAGCTTGCAAGGGTTTATCGAGACGCACCAACGGATAATACCACGTCACAGTGTTTTTCTTTCTCTTTTTTCTCTTTGCATTCGGTTGCGTTTCAAAAAAAAAAAAACACAAGATGGGTTCGAGTCTTGGCTAGACCAAGGTACAAAACCGTAGAAGATGTCTTCTTATCAAAAGGAGTGCCATTGCCTAAGCTAGGACTGTGAATGGGAAACCCAAAGCTTCCACTGTTTACCGTTCTGATTTAAACATCGGTGCTTCTTAGAAAAATTTTCGATGAGTTGCATGGTTAAAAGCTGTATGGCGTGCGCAATAGCCGACATCTATTGATGAGTGCATAAGTTCGTGCCCGATTCCGCTGGATGCCGTTCGAATCGTTTGAGAGTGGCGCTCGTGAAAGAAATATATACATATTGTATATCGTTGGAAAGGTGACAGTCCGAACTGTAAATCAAGCATAAAATAACTTCATTTTGATTTGATTTGAGTTGCTTAGTGAAAAGACGCATGGAAGATGGACAACGAAAAAGATCATATGCGTCATATTATGTTATACGAATTCAGCAAAGGAAAAACAGTAGGCGCTGCAACTAAAGATATTCGCCAAGTTTATTTGGACCGTGCTCCAGCACAACTGTACAACAATGTTCAACGCAAAAGAACATGGAAACAGGCACACGAAGGGGCGGAACCGATGTCGAAAGGTGGATTGCATCCGATGAAGGTACTGCTGTGCATTTGGTGGGATATCCGAAGCGTGATCTATTTTGAGCTCTTGCCAGCTGGAGAAGTATTGTCAGTAATTGGTCGAATTGAAGAAAGCAATTGATGAAAAACGTCCGATTTTGGCCAATCGCAAAGGAGTTCTTTTCCATCATGACAACGCCAGGCCACATGTTGCAAAACCGACCCTGGCCAAACTGAAGGAGATGAATTGGGAAATCATGCCGCATCCCCCATATTCACCCGACATTGCACCTTCTGATTATCATTTGTTTCGATCGCTGCAGAACAATTTGAATGGAAAAGAATTTGAAAATGTGGAAGACGTCAAAAACCACCTTGACACCTTTTTCAACGAGAAACCGCGCGATTTCTATGAATCAGGCATCCGTAAATTGGTTGAACGTTGGGAGTGGATTTCCGAACATGATGGCGAATACATAATTGATTAATAAAAGCGCTTTCTTCAAAAAATTTCAATTTTAGTTTGCACTTGAAATCGGGCACGAACTTATGCACTCATCCAAATGAAATAAAAGCTCTTAAAAAATTCATTGGCTTTTCAAAACACATGCCACAAATTGGAGGAGGAGCTTGGTCGAAAATCGGTTCAGCGGTTACAAAAGCGCCAAAATTATATATATACATATGTATGTACATACATGTACATATATAGGTATGTATATAAGAGCCACAGGAAGCCAGAGTACTCGAGCTAAAGAACTCCATACAACACCACAGAAAAGAGCTAATGGACACTATTCACAGAGAGTCCGTCAAAATACATATGTATAAACCCTCTTGGCAGACAAAGAGCACGAGCTGCCTCGCGAGACCCGAGTAATACTGGCCCGTTTTAGGTATTGACACTGTCATTGACTCAACTATTCAGACAAGACATACCCACTGTAGCCTACTCATTCAAGACACCGCTCCTTTCGCCCCGAACCCTTTCAAGCCGCTCGCTTTCTGAGCCTTCCGTTAGATGACCTCGACAATTCGCTTTTAAGCGGGATTGAGCAATCCGCTACAAAAACCGGAACTACATCATTTTTAAAGCTTAATAACATACACACTGATGCTTCGTAGCAGCTTTCATATCCATTTAAAATTAATCCAACGCTTATGGTTCATATTTACATACAAAAATAAATAAATTATTCGCTTACCCGTGAAACTGAGTGCAATTTGCCAGGTATCGCCTTGCCCGGATAACGTTTCGAGGGCGTACGAAAACCTTTACGTTGAATACGAGCTGTCATCGTTGATGCCGTTGACATTGTCATACGCATACCTAAAAGCAAAAATAAAGAAAAGGAAAAAGGAGATATAAATAATAAAGTATAAAGTGAATAGTATTAAAAGGGGGTGAGAATTAATAAAATAAATAATAATAATTTTTTAAATCATCAAAACTTATCACTAAAGCAACTGAGGGTCGACGGGCCACGATTAAGAAATCTAAATTTGTAGAAAGAAAATGGGTAATGGCAGAGTGGAGGAGCGCCTTTACATACACATACATTCAGTGTTGATAAAAACCACAAGTACAACGCCCTCAGTGCAAATGAGCAATGAATAAATATGTATGTATGTATGTATACATAACATGAATGTACCATACTATGGTATGACATCTCCTCTGATCTGTTATCATCATAGAGGAACCAAGTTCCAGTGATGCCTAAAGCGAGGCGCTTGTCAAAGTGTAGACAGTCGCTGAAAGCACGAGCTCTAAATAAATTTAATTATTTATAACAATACGTGTATGTATGTTTGTAAATATTATATATATATTACGTTATAAGTATGTGCGTGCATTGAGTGACAGTTCCGCCACACTAAATCCCAGCGATAATCAATGGCTTTTTAATTGCCTCATAGCCATAATGCTTAAGTAACCAGTTGTAAATACTTGAGTACCTTATAATACACTTGTACATAGCATATATGTATGTACATATGTATGTGCATATAAATGTGTTATTTAGTAAAACGAAACTTACTAAGTAGAATAGTAGTTAAAATATTATAATAAAAATAAGCAAGTGGATTGCATATTAGGGTGTTGCCTTTAATGGCCGAGCTCCTCCTGCAATTTATGGCGTGCGTCTTGATGTTGTTCCCAACAAATGTTTATTCTAAGCCGATACACAAGATTTTCTTCATGTCAGGAATGCACTTTGAGTACTTGGCATTAAGGCTTTAGAACAGTCGATTTTTCTTTAAATAAATGTACAGAACCAAACTCGAAAAATTAATAAAAAAAAAAATTATTTAAAAAAATATATACACGGTGGATCCCAAAAATAACCGAACTTTATCTTTAAATCATACAACAAACAGCGCTATTTATTGAAAATTTGCAACATTAAAAAGATACATTAATCCTCTTTCAAACCCACCTAACATCATGTAAGTCGGATGACAGATGTAACAGACAGTGACTGCCATTTCAATAAAACCAAAAGTGTGCTAATGGTTCAAAAATAAAATGAAACAAATAGCAAATATAAAATTTTGTATCAAACTTGAAAAAAAATTAAATGGTCGTGAGGATTTAAATGACGACCCTAGAACAGGACGTCCAGAAACTAGTAATCGTGCTGAACTGGTGGAAAAAGTCCGTGAAATCATTGGTATCAATGCAAATTTTACTACGAGAATGTTGGCTGAGGAATCGAATACGTGTAAAAACACTATTTGGATAATTTTAACTGAAAATTTGGGGAAGAGAAAGGTCTGTGCGCGATTTGTTCCACATGAATGAAATGACGACCAAAAAATCGCTCGAATTTTTAATAAAAAAAAGGGATTTCTCTCATTGACCATCCTCCGTATTCGCCTGATCTATCACCATGTGACTATTTTTTATTTCCAAAACTGAAGACTAAGATGAAGGGAACATTTTATGATGACATCCCAGCCATTCAAGCAGCCGTAACCGAGGTACTGAAGAACATTTCTACAAATGACATAAAAAAATCTATGCATGCGCTGATTGATCGTTCCAAACGTTGTGTTGAGTCAAATGGAACCTATTTTGAATGAATAATAACTTTCAAAGATAATATAATCTGTATTTTATTTTATATCCCAAAATTTCGGTTATTTTTGGGCCACACCGTTTTCATTTTGTTGAAATCTTCGTCTGATTATGTGAGAATAGCCCTCGCTACTCGCACTCGGTAAAGAAATTTCGTAAGATTTCACCTTAAAAAAAAAACGCCTCTCGTCAAGGAATGTGAATCTCTACAAGTGTATTTCTTACAGGAATTAGTACCAAACAAAAAAGGACTGCAGTGCCGAAGCCATCAAAACTTTTATAAAAATAAAAAAGTATATTGTATTGAATTGTGTGCTTAAATTGGTTTTATGGTAGCTGTAACTTACAGTATTCCAATCTGGCCGGTTCTAAAAAATTATCAATACATTACTAACATACAACCGCCTACCAAGTTCCTTCCAAATATATCAAACACTGAGAGACTAGTTTTCGTACAAATATACGAATAAACAGACAGATATATGAATATGACTGAATCAAGTCAACACGCCATTCTGATTATATCGTCATAAATATTGGTAGCTCCATTTCTTTTGCTTTTAGTACTTAAGTACTGCGGACCAAAATTTATTAAACCATCTTATGATTCAATGATTTATTCACCAACAACATTTTAATCAATTTTGTGAGACCAATTTGCTTACGCCTGGAAAGTCTGCAAATGACCAGTTATTCACCACGACCCAAATCTGGCAAGAGACCCGTGGAGAGTGGAGCGTCACACATCACCTATTCGACAATTTTAAAGTAGCCTTCGACAGCACGCAAAATAGCTGCTTCAGCTCCGCCAGGATGTTGGATTATAAACAAGGTTTCAGACAAGGTGATTTCTTATCGTAAGACTGATTTCATCCATTGCTAGAGAAAATAATAGGAGCTGCAGAACTGAATAGAGAAAGTGAAATATTCTATAAGAGTGTACAACTGCTGGCGTATAATGATATTGAGATTACTGAGCTCAATAACCGCGCCGTAAGTTGTGCCTTTTCAAACTCGATAAAGAAGCGAAGTGAATGGGTCTAGTCTGGTAGTGAACGCGGACAAGACGAAATAACTTCTATCATCAATCAAACAGTCATCGCATTCGTTACTATTTTTCCACGTCACTGTTGACATTCCCAATTTCGAGGTCATAGATAATTTAATTTATCTTGGGACCAGCCAGGGTTTGAACCCAATGCAGAATCATTTATGCCAACAGGTGCTACTTTGGACTGAGTAAACAATTCAAAATGTTTTATTGTTATTTATTAGCATAAATTAAATATTACACTAACATATTAAGCGCACTAGCTGCTAAGGCCTGTTTTTTAAATCTATGATTTGACAATATTTTCAAAGATTTTTTTTCCAAATAATACTATATGTTTTTCAAAAAGTGGGCTTGCTTTATGTGCATATGGAGCCTGTTGATTTTATCATAATTTATGTTTTTAAGATAGTGCAACGCTATTGTAAACAGTACAACTGAGATCGGGAACCCTTGTGGTATGCCGTTTAAAGATTTTATGAGTTGATAAAGTTTGGGGCCGACGCACTTGAGAAGTAAAGTCCTCTCTCGGCGAACAAAAACCAAACTCTACAAGTCAGCATTATGCCCGTCCTACTATATGGCGCTGGAGCGTGGACGAGTTCGACATACGCGTCGGCTTTGGCGAAAATAACGGTGTCTACGCCAGAAGAAGAAGAACACTCTTTATAAGAATGGCTACTATTTACATTGCATGCGTGACCCTAATGTATGAGTGTTAACTACGTTTGTATCTTCATCTGACTGCATATGTACATACATACATATGTATATATGTATGTGAGTAGGTATTTACACTTGTGAACAATGTTAATTAAAATGTGCACTACTGTTATTTACAAATGATTATTTGTTATGATTTCACAAACGTACATATACACACACACACACATACACAGATAAATTTAATACAATCGAATCACAACCAACAAAACCACTAATCAGTAATAATTGTTGTTTTGCAATGATCAACAGACTGTTGCTGCAGCTTCTGGTGTTGTTGCTGCCGCTGATCATTTGCTGTAAATTAAATAGGAATTTAATTGAACCAAACCAATGGGTTGACTTTCTTACAAGTAAACACACAAACTCACGTACATATGTACATATGTATGTATGTGTGCATGTGTGTATGTAAATGCCCACAATGCAAATATAGACAGATAATAGTAAATGTAAATTTAAATTTAACTACAGCATTCGTGTGCGTAAACAGATAAGAATGAAAAATGTTGTGTTTTCAGATTTTCTGAAATGCAAATTACTAAAAATAATGTGTAAATTAAAAAAAAAACCAACAATTAAAACTACGTAATAAGTAGAGTGTAAAAAATGTTATAAAAAGACTACATACAAATACGAGGTTTGTCTTTTGCATTTCGGGATTTGGCAACACTGGTGTTGCAGACACATCTCCAGAACGCTTCTGTTGTTTGCAACAACTTAAAATATTCACTCAGCAAGAGTGCATCGATGAACTTAATTCACTTTTTGGCGAGCGAGCACCGTCAAGTACCCGTGTTTATCCGATGATGAATTTAAAAGAGGTCGCAAAATAGCTCCAAGACTAATTTCGTGAAGGTCGTCCCAAATCAGTAAATCAGTTGATGTTCCGTAAACTATTGCTGCTGTGCGCAAAGGGATATTGCAAGATCGTCATGTGATCCATCGTGAGATTAGAGACAACTATAGGGATTAGTGGGATCAGTATACTTTTCGCATCGCATGAATATTTGAATGTCAAAAAACCATCACGTTTGACACCACAAGATTTGTGAATTGTACAAAAAAAAATGTTCGTATCGATCGGTCGAGAGAAATAATAAGCAAAAATACGATAGCCGAGCTTCGAAACACGTCTATGGCAGCGTGACCGGTTGATTGACGCGTGTGATCCCGAAACTAATAGAATATTATGTATGTTTAAAGATGAGTCGAATCCAATAAAAAGTAGTTTGCGTACGAAACACTTCCAAAGAACATATTAGAACAACACCACTAGATCAACGAAGAACAGAAGTTTTTGAGTGGTACAAAACAATTTGTTAGCCAGTTGTTAGTCAGTAAATTAGGAAACCAAACGCCGAAGACGGAACACTCTATACCATGACAATGCGTGCTCTCACACATCGACTGATACGTTTTGATGAATCATCCATCTGACTTGGCAACGAATGACAGCTTTTTATTTCCATGC